GACCTAAACTACCGTCGTTGCATGTCTTGCTACAGTCCTGCCAATCCTTCACGGACCATCTGATGGAAAAGAAAATGCTATATTTTATGAAYTGTTTCACGACCAAAGAGGTTTTYAGCGCCGGCATAGTGAGGYAGCCGCCACGTTCTTTATCTAAAGGCATGGCAAAAGCTAACAAACAACTGATAAGGACATGAATTGTAAAATATCTTACGCTTAAAACAGTCATTTAGTTTTTAATGCAGGAKCAAAGCGAAAAATCTTACTGAGCTTTCACGGGTAACTGACGAGGTTGAGAAACCAAYGTTTCTGATAGGTTAACAGCTAATGTTGTAGCTTACCTTGGCGAGCACGCCTGTGTGTTGCATTCCTCGGAAAGACCTTCTGGTGCTTCGCTTTCACACTTATCGTGAGACACTGGAGAACCGTCGTCTACCCTAACACATTCAACAGTAACTAGTCTTTTACCTTGAAAAAAAGAAAAAAGAGAGAATAATTTACTAAATGACCTTCGATCGGATGTTTCCATGAGATTGGAGTTCTACACTCGAACAGTCTCCTCTACCATCAACGCCAGAACGAAAGTTAAGAAGTGAAAAAGAGAAGACCTCTCTTTTTTTCTCTACAGAAGGAAAAGAAGACTCTCCTCACAAGATAAGTCGGAAGATGTAATAAATAGCTTTTTTACAGTTTCATTCATCAAAAAAGTAGTTCAGTGGATTACCATCGAACAACTTTTCAACATATGTTTCGATCGCCCTAATCAAAAACAAAAGCCATGTGCTTAAAATGGAACTAGTACCTCCTCCACAAGTGACCGAGCATCCCTGTGCAGTCGTTTTCCATTTAAACTGTTCAGCGGAGTCGTCTTTGGAGATATCATCACTTGACGTTGACTTGGATACGAGAGTGTACTTATAGACCACGTGATATTTGGGAGGATTATAGTTAGGGTAGTAATAGTCGTAGTCGGAGTAATCGAGAAGAAACTAAAAGAAAAACAAAAATCACACTATTTGAGATCATTGGTCCATTCCCAGACCCTTTTTAGCTCGCTCCGTTGGCTTGGTCGCGGGAAAATGGTCCAGAAAATACAACCTATGAGTAATCATAAAGCCATACCTTAACAATGATTCCTTGAGTCAGAGGACCTTTAGCAGTAATCGTCTCTATATTTCCATTTTGTGTATACACGAATGTCGTACCAGCAGCGTTCAATGTTTCGCTTCCATCGCTCAYATAATAATCCATGTTCAGGATTGGTGTTTTTGATGTTGTTTCCAAGGCTGCAGATATCAACAGGTTTAGCAGATAGACAGGAAATCAACCCCTCACATTCGTTACTAAATTAGTATTTATTTACCTAAGTAATTCTTCGAGTTCGACAGTTCTTTGATATAGATTCCTTCCGCTCCAGCGGGGATGGTTGTAATGGTCTGGTATTCAGCTGGAAGGAATGACAGCGTTAATCAGTGTATTGTGTCAGTGAAAGTTGAGTTGGAAACAACCAAGAAAGTGAAAGTTTACCAGTACATTTTGTAAACAGTTTTGAGATGTACGCATGCAATAACTCAGGAGAATTATCGGCTTTTATCCATTGGACTATGTTTTTATGTTTAGGTTCTATTTATGTTTAAAAAAACAACAAACAAACAAGCAAACAAACAAACAAAAACGCTGTACTTACGACCATTGTAGTCAGGGACTTTGTTGTACGCATTCGATACGGTCCTTGAAGAACATCCACTACCATCACCATTACACACACCACATTTATCGAGCTTTGCTTTAGAACCAATCACATTGTCACATCCAAGTTCCTGTAATATGTCAATAACAAAAGATTCTAGCAATTGCTGCCTGTAAATGAGGTGTAATGGTATCACCATTTGTCTCTAACGCTCTGGCAACCTCGTTACCAGGGCCTTTTCTACTAAGCGAAGGGATAAAGGTCCTGGGAACGAAGTAGACGCTCTGGTCGAATTTGACTTGTACGTGACGTCATAGCCGCCATTTTGGATGAAGACGACAGTATTCACCACTAACATTTATTCAATATGCATGGCGGCTACAACATCTTTCCCGGCTTTTTCAGGGAATTCTTGCCAATATAGGTTTGCGCATTCCCATACTAGTGAAACTGATGAATGCCCTTCTATATCGTCAGAAGTTGAAAGTGCAACAACAGTGACTCAATACAGTTTGCAAAGGCAAACGTCTTCAAGCATCATCGTCCAGTATGCTGCAGATTCCTTTCCCTTTATTCTAGAATCTAGTTTCCCAGTAGAATAACTTCTCATTATCACAGAGTAACAGCTTACCTTGCAAGCGCCATTAATACAAACACCCTTTGGACCTTTGCCATCGCATCTGAGACCATTTTCTACTGCACCAAACGTGTAAAACGTATAACTAGAACCAGAAGCTGGTGCCTCACAAGTCAGTTTACATCGGGCCTTTGCTAATAAAACAGGAATTTTAAGTATATTATTACCTTGAATCTTTTTCTCTATATGAACACTACCAACAGGTCCTCAGCCTCTCCACTTAATATATGACGTCAATAATGACGTCATGCGAAGTTCGACGAAGTGCATTATGGTATTGATATTATTGAATAATAATGTTTCCCGCCCTGGCCGTCTTACCTGCTGCTTGTCCCTTTGGGTTATAAACCCAGTCATAAAACTGGTTTCCAGAGAAACGTATATTTCTTTTACTTATGCAAGCCTTCATGCGTGGATCTGTAGCAGATGACGGGCATTTCTACGATGTAAAGAAACGATATTTCTTCAACTTTGACAGAGAGAAACTGTCAATTGATAATTTTGAGCATTCATGGTATATTCAGCATTGGATAAAAAAGCAACATCCATTTTCTGGTTGCTTAACAAAGTCTTTGTGTTTATTTTTCATTTGTAAAGGCGACATAACAGGCGAAACCAATAGGGCAGTGTGCAATGTGACACATCTTCCATCATGTTTTGTTGCATTAAATAGCACATTGTGTATTGCCGAAATAAAAGGTAACGTGATAACACCTCCCCTAAACCACGATGTATTTCAGAGTCGAATAGTTAAAATCAATGTAAAAATCACTTTTCAGATGTACATGGTATATTCTCAAGTACCTTGTTAACACAATACTTAAAGTCTTTGTATTCCCCCATGCATGGTTTACCGAAGTTCTTAGGTCTGCAAAAATAGAACATTAAAATTAAAATCACAATGCCGTTCTGCCACTACAACGTATTTATCAATCTTTATTGTGCGGTTGCCATTTCGAGAGCTGAGTCGTATCGACCAGTGTATTGACTATTCTCAAAATTCCAGTGTAAGTGGTCCTAGCCTTGAATAGTCTACTCGGTCTCTACTCATAACTTTTACTTACTTTGGATTGTCGCACTGACGGGTTCTGACCATAACACCACCCCCACAAGTGTGMGAACATTTACCCCAACCAGACCAAGCYGAAAATCCTCCATTGACAGGTTTAGGACCATTCTTCCCGAAAGCCGACTTGTCAACACACATTCCTCGTCTACAAAACTGCACGAAAAAAATACAATCAATTTGTATAAAATATTTGTACACAGTCGATTTTTCCTAGTGAGATGTCAATCAAGCTTCGAAACTGCAAAAAAATCTGATCTGAGGACTAAACTGGTCGGCACTTACTTTTTCATGACCGCATTTGGATCCCTCGGCTGCTGGTTCTCGTATAGTATGACACTGGCTTCCTTTCACACACCACAGGATTGAGCAAGCTATCTGCAAATGAAGCATTTGAAACGTTTTTCTAAAGCCTCCAGGTATCCGAAAATGGATAGCGAAGAAGAGGAAGAGAAACAGGAGTCTTACTTTGAGATAATCAGGGTGATTACAAAATCCAGTTGATCCTTTTATCATGAGTTTACACTGGTCATCAAGACTGTAATCTTGTCCAGGTAAGTTGGCTGGTATTTTCACAGACTGGCCTGGTGTATCTTTGAGGCATGATGACCGACCTCCCCTGAAAGGCAACATATAAAACAAGGAGTTACGCACTGAAGCAAGTTTGGGAACCTGTTCCAATAAATTTCTCCTGTAAGTTCTTAAATTGCTCGCGGAAAACTGTGTATTGTTGTACTGAGTAGTTCAGTCGTATGCATGTTTGCCTTTTGCATTTGTGCGTTTTTCATTTTGTTTGTGGCTTATACTTCATTTGCCACCTTTTATATTATCAATTTTTCATGTTGGTTTATTGTTACAATAGATAATGAATGAAAATCTTATGAAAACATTTGAGTACCTCAAATACTTTAGGATGTAATCGCGACTGCACCTAGACCATTGATACCCTGTGGGTTTTCCAGATGCTGTTCTTGCCATGATATTAACAGCATCAGGACAATTATTCCCCTCTCCATCATGCTCTGCACCAAGACTACAATTCACAAGCACGAAAAATTGTAAATATAAACCCATGACATCAAATCTAGGAATCCATATGCATATAGTACTTACTTGTGCCCGGTTTCGTGAGCGATGGTAAAAGCAGTACCCAGGCCGGTATCAGTGTTAAGTACACAGCTGGTCCCATAACCGCACATTCCTTCGAGATCGGCCAGTCCTTATACATAAATATAGTAAATAGTAAATCCATTCATTCGCTCACTTATTCAGTGATTTGACATATTGTTGGACATATATGGTCAATCCTTAACGATTGCATACTGAGCATGCGCGCAGCCACTAGATTTCTACGCCTGCGTGCCACGTACTGAGCTTTTCACTAATGTTTTATTATAGGAAAATGAGATCCAAATCGATCAAATAATAAAGTGTTTTTACCTAATAATGATTGACAACTGCTTGATTTGGGATTGTAACTTTTAGCACAAAAAGGTGTTCTGAAATAGAAATGAAAAATCTCTCATCATAAAATGCATCTCTCTATGCAGCGAAAATGGAAGTTGACTCAAATACTGATGTTTTATTCATCAGTGTGACGACCAAAACAGTTTGCAATGATGGATGATATTAATAAAACGTCATGTTTCAGCAGTCGATATTTTAAAATCAATCAACTAAACCTTACACAGGTTGGATAGGTTGCTACCTTGATATGAGAACTGCGTTGTCAAAGAAGCTGTTGTCTGAATCCTTGAGTCTTGTTTTTTGTCCGTTGGTCCATTTGCAGAAACGTGTCAAGGTTCTCTCGGCATGAGAATTGACATAAAACCCAGGCTACAAACAAATTAGACATAAACAATATGCACTTCTTAAAGATACCATTGTCGCAGCACACTGTCTCGCAGCAGCGTAACAAGACAAGTTGCTGGAGAATTGCACAAAGCTGGCTTGTCATGCATTTTATTGGTGCTGTTGATGCTCTGTTGGTGTAGTTGTTTTTGTTATTATTGGTGTTGCTGTTGCTGTACGTAGCGTAGGGCGACGTAGAATTCAGGCCAACTTCTCGCAATACATCGCAGCAACTATCAAAACCAGTACAGTGTATCATCCCTTCAGCAAGATTATTCTCAATTTTGGTATGCACGCGCAATTTCTAGGAAATAACACTGTGTAATTTTCTCGATAAAATGCTTCGCAACGTTGCTGCGAGACCAGTTGATGAGAAAAGTGAGCTGAATGCGACTACGCGGCTTTAATCGCACACGACGCCAGCTCAAACAGCCTTTAGTGGCATTAACATTCGTCTTAGAGCTTACTGAAATGCTTTTTTTCACGATGCTTAATGTCACTTACCTCGTACGTCTCTAGAATCTGTAGTTTGTTGAGGACGTATTTAATGCTTGCTCCTATGGACGGATCGCCAATTAGACTGTGCACCTATAGATAAAACAAKAACTCATAAAAATCTGACATAACTAGTAAGTTAAAGCCCCAGGTGAATCCGACAAMCTTTGCACTYGCTTSTTTTGTTTCAYTAATTATTGAAACTTGCTTTCTGATATRTTCAAAGATTGCGCATTTCCATATGARAGAATTTCGCGCACATTTTTGGCAGAAGTTCTTGAATGCACATGCGCCTTTAATATTTTTTTTATTAGTATAAAAGATATAAAAGAGTTATAGTTAAACCCCCTTACTATGTTCATGAGTGTGAGGACATAGCTYTTCAATAGTCGTGYGTTTCCGTGGTATTTAAGCATGTTAGTGTCGGTAACAACCAGCGCCTCGATGTAATAAGGTCTTGAATACACATCGTCTTCTTGATCATCGTCGTCATTGGATGGTTCTTGGTTCTTTAGTGAGAGTGGCACTGCAATAAAACAATATAAAATTTACTCGTAGCGTTTAGAATCCTCGTCCTCCACACACATTTGCACTTGCTCTTGTTTCTTGTCATTTTTCTTTCGGATRCTAACATTTTTGCGTCCACACATATCCGTATTCGGAGCGTTTACAAGCATTTCCCTCCTTAAATCGTCTAATGCAGACGTGGAATCTGCAGGTGGCTGCAGTTATTTTTTCGACTTTTTTTCCTTCAACCGCCGATAAAGAAAGTCGCTTTACTTTTAATTGTTACTTTTCGATATTCTTATTGAAAGCGATAATTTATAACGAAATGGCTACATAAAAATTGCATTGAAACCATAAACCACGTTGCGAATTCGGCTATTTTCCGACCTCTAAAATCAGCAGAAGATATTATACTTACTTGATCTGACGTCTATTCCTAACTGCCGACCAAGATTTGCAGCATCGCCATGGGAACGTTTGTAAATCACGTGGGTAGGCGTRGTAAGCCCCAGTCTCTTTGGAAGAGGACTTATCATAAGAACCTCTCTTTTGCTTTGTATCATTCCAGTCTGACATTAGAATCAGGATGAATTAGATTATTACGTTTTTGTGGCTACTTCATGCTTTAAAAAGGTGAAAGTCACTATGCTGTCTGGAATGTAATTAACACTTAGTACTACGCATGCGTAGTAAGATGTGTAAATCACGTCAATATCATTTATTGACAATACTTAAAAAACTCTACTTACCAGTCCATCGCAGTTACTGAGTGCCACCTTGTCACCAGGTCCCTGATCCGTTACCAGGTGACCAAGATAATGGCAGTCATCAACAGATCGGTCGTAACGAGACTCGCCATTGTTTCKTATTTCAGTTACAAAACCCGGTGCTAAAAGYTGATCGGTGTTCAATTTCATRTCCAAATGGTATCGCTTCCCGAAYGCTAACAGTCCAAAATGAAGATTTTTTGGTGCTTCTCTTTTGTCGTTATGGGTTACGTCATGTGACAGGAAGTCACCTTGATCGTTCAGTAAAACTGGGTGTACAACGTCATATTCAGGAACTGTGGAAAATAAGAACGTCAAGTCATGAAAGAAATTAAGTGGAAAGGAAAGATTTTTATATCAGGGATAGCCACAAACTTTAGAATGGCACGCTTTTTGAAAATTGTTTCGGTTTTCTGGGATAGAAATCATTGCTTTATGTGTTTTCAAGAGGATAGGAATGGGTCTTGCGGTAAACGTTTCAACAGGACCAACCAYACAGRTGGCTTCGGCCACTTATATTATGAGATGTAGCACGTTAGCCTCTACACTGATTACGATGGAATTGTTGACCTATAAATAGCGCATACTTACTTCCTCTCGACATTGAATGTCTTAAGGGTCGTTCGTACTCAAACATACTCAGTCTCAAAAACTACCTGGAGATCGCGTTCACATATAGCAAAACCTTTAACAGTGGCGAATCCAGCTGCTGGGTGAAGAGGAGAAAATGTTCCGGTTCCATTCAATTATGAAGATCCTTGCCTTTTACCCCTGGAATCCCACAATTTCTTCAAAATTCAAGATGGCGSTCACTTTAGTAAAAAGGTCAGTAAAAAGGTGACTTGGCATGGAGGCCTTTGCACGAAGCTTTGAACTAAGGCCGCAGTAACTGCATGGATGACAAAGTGGCTTTTCTACTAAAATTGTAAAGCTTTTCATCGCGTAAAGATATCAATAGATATTTGTCATAAGATAACATATTCGTTCTCTGCACACTTTTTTGTTGTTGTTGTTGTTGTTGTTGTTTTGTTATCCGACCTTTTACCACGATTTACATCTAAGATACCGTGACACCGAACAGACCGTAAAAAAAGCGCGCGCGTTTTGTTTATCAAATTGTTAAACATAAACAATGACAATCAAAGAAATACAAGTACCTCCTACCAACAAACGAAAAATAAGAGGAAAAACAACGTATGGAAGAGAGAATCATTCTTTCATGTTCTGTTTTATATGATGTTTTTTATAAGAGTGTCCTTTCTGACGGTTTTCTTGCGAGTATGTGTGCGGTGAACCGTTTTCCGCGCTTGGCCGAGCATCAGTTTATTAACGGTCACTGGTTGACATTGTACTATCTACTTTTATTCCACCATTCAATGAACCAAGTTATCAACGGTTAAACAAGTGGAGCACATGGTCTACTTGAGTCATAAGTCTCTTTATATGCAGGACAACATATTTTTACACAGGAATAAGATAAATGAATAGAAGTCGAAAATCTTAACTGAAAACCAAGAATCTGGAAGAGCAGAGAATACTCGAAATCTGCGATTACATGAGAAGCATGCAAATGATAGAATATTGAGTAAAAATGCCTTCATAATGCATTAAATATCAGATTTTAGTGTCTATACAAGTTTGTACGATTTTTTATTACATGAGAAGCATGCAGACGATAGAATATTGACTAAAAATGTCTTCATAATGCATTAAATATCAGTTTTTGGTGTCTATACAAGTTTGTACGATTTTTTTATGATAAAGAAATTGTTTTTCTCGAGGAAACGTTAGGCAACTAAGCAAGTTGCAAATATATCAACTCCAGATCTGTTAGGGACCTCGTTTAATAGATTTAACCGAGGAGATGGTAAACAAATGAGACAAATAACAATAAACATTGCAAGTATATTGCTCATGAATTTACCTTTGTTGCGTTTAGTCCCAAAAACTTTTTCCACTTCATCGTCTGATAGGAGATTGTGAACTTCTTCATTCTGCAGAAAAAAAGTTATAAAAACATCATGATTTACTTTTTATCGACCTTTATCCGATTCTGCAGCAAATGAGCAGTCAAAAATATAACATATACACTCCTTACTTTTAAAACTCTTGCTTTCACAAGTACAACCGYAAAACCCAACAGCAAAAACAAACTTTTGATGTTTGTCATCATTTGTTTTGATGTGTTCGTCCTGAAGTCCAACGTTGAACTGAAATCTTTGTTGAATTACGGCGCGCTTTTCAACAATTAGGCAGTTTGACCGTTATAAACTAACCTTTTTTCCATAACAAAAGAGTTTTATCACTTTGTTATTATCCGTACAGACTCCAGCTGTGTGGAACAGTTGCCTTTTAGCAAAGGGGAGTAATAAAAAAACGTCTTTTTTGCACTTGTTGTCCAGACAGTGCATTATGAARAGAATTTTACGATTGGCCAGTTTCATRTCTTGATCTCGAAAAGTTTTAGCAGCCATGTATYTATTTTGAAAAGCTCAATACCATGGTGTAAGGGGATTAACGGATCTATTAAACTAAAGCTCCCGTCTTTATATTTTATATACTTATTAATTAATAGATATGGTAATGAGAWTAACAAGTGGATATAATAGCTTTAATGACTTCAAAAAGATATAAATGCTTTTACAAAAGTGTTGATATTATCTAGAGATATTGTCTGGATATCACGACCTTCCACGGTACTAACTTACGTCGACGACAAAGTTCCCGCCCCGAATTTTTTTAAAGCAAATTACAGGCCAGCGTTACAAATGTCATCTAGCAGAGGGGTGAGAAGGGTTTCCTGATAGAAAACACATCACTAAAAGACTGCATGGAGATATTTGAGCTGAAGCCARCACATGTAATATACAACGGTAAAATCAGAGCCTTAGAGAGTCTTGGCCTTCAAGATGAATAATTTTTTAGCCAAATCTCAGTTAGAACATGCCAAAAGGTTCGGCTTTGATTTGAGCTTGGTTATACCGCGAGTTTGAAGGTGATTGACACACGAGTAGTTCGACGTTTCAATGCACATGTGAGATTCGTCGTGCTTAATTAATTTAGGCGTCGAGTCTGTTTKGCTCGATGAAACGGTTGAATGAGGTATGAAACAGGAGTTTTTTAAATCTCCAATAGAAGTATGCTAACGCTTTCCCAAACTCCAACATTTTCCCAAGATCTCGCTGATTGTTACCGAGAWTACATCTGAGCCTCTAAATAACACTAGCACGAGGCARATCAGTCTAAATTACGAGATCAAATAATTCAACAGAGAACTGTTCATTGGGRGTATTCMWTGAAAKKYTGTTTCTTTATTTGAATAGCCCCATAGATAACAACTTACTACAGCTTGGTAATCTTGAATGGAGCTATTGCACCAACAGCGATTGTTTACTAAACCTCTTTTCAAAACAAACACACGTAACGAATGCAGACTGAATCGCAGGAGAAAAAAAAAAAACAAAAACGGCCATGCTTCATCGTTTAGAGATCAACAGGTATTGAGAATACACAGGAACTTTTCGACCATCGATKTCTTTCATATATTATTGTTTTCAATAATTTTCCACATAAATGCGAAAGAACGACTTCACGTTCAAGACGTACACTTCTTTAGATTTCAATTTACTTCGATATTCTAAGACAGTTAGAATGAATTCGTGGGATTTCCCCTTTTAGTGCTACAGCCATTGCTATAACGAGCTGACTTCCCCGATGATGGTCCAAGTTGTGGACCACATGGATGCAGACGAATCKTTGGTTGAATGATCGTGAAGATATATGCAATGCGGCGAGGTTCGTCGGATGATAACTTTACAAACTTTAAAGAAGCCATATCGAATGATTCTTTTATCATCTAATRACAAATATCAAAAGAAAMAATTTRTACTTAAAATTTCTACTCTTTGCAACTACATTTTATGTCGGAATATAAGGTATCAGCAGCGTGGCTGTVCCGTGACCGTCGCAGTGCAGAAATAATTATTGCAGGGAGCGTGACGTATAAAGGCTGATTTACACGGTACGATTTGTCGCGCGCGACTTGTAGTATACGATTTTCCTACTACAAGTCGTAGGATTTTAAGCAGTGGTTCAAAATCCTACTACAAGCCGTAGGTTGCGTACGACTGTTGTAGACAAGTCGTAGGGGCATTTACACTGCGCGATTCAAGTCGTATACTACAAGTCGCGCGCGACAAATCGTACCGTGTAAATCAGCCTTAAGAGTGCAACAAATTTAAGTTGTTAGCMATATCACAGGAAGCCCAACATATCCATTCACAAACGAGACTTTGTTTTTAATACGTGCCATTAGTATTTTGGTTGATGGAATGGACTAGACCTTAATAACACCGCAGTATGCATCTTCATTTATCAAGTCACGTTTTGTCGAAGTTTTTTTTAGAAGAGTATTTTTTGTGCTTATTGTGTGGTTGCTATATGATTAGTACTGTAATTATAATCATCATCATCATCATCTTTGCACTTTCATAATTTCTTTCATTCTTTTCGATCTCTTGGTTCACAAACATCTACGGCTCAAACATATGCCCAATAACTGCCAATCACTTCTATTGTCGTCCACACGAAGTCAAGGCTATTTAGACCACTATACGTTATTGTTCRGACATGKTAACAATGTCGATGAATGATCGTCCATTACCCCTTATCATTGAATACCTTGTCCACGTGGTCTTGGGGCGTCGATAAAACACAACATAAAKRCTCTGTCAACTAACATTACACAGAATCACCAACATAATAAATAGCACGATAAAAGTAAATGAATGAGTGGTTAGATRAAAGAAAAGATGTTGTTTCCAGAAGTGACTCGCCATTAAAGAGATTGACCCTGGCGGCTTAGTCTCACTTATAGGAATTCAGAAAAGGTCGCTTGTTTGAATGCTCACTCAAATCCCACAACACACAAGCTAAAGTAACCTGTCTTTAGCAAACAATAAGTTCATACATCAAAAAATGCCAATGATGGAACAATCACACGACACGAAAAACCCGAAAATATGTGAAACACCAGAGCGACTCGGAGTCCTGCCATTATCTGATCTTCACATGACGTTTACTGCTCTACCAGCACAGTGGTTACGTAAAACRCCAGCTGGAGGGGATAACGTTTTACGCTTCGACTAACATCAAACGGAATACCGAGACAGTGTTACTATAGTGACGCCAAAGTTCAAAAATGACAGGTTGATCATGGAATTAGTCTTCGTTAAAAAAGAACATTTCATTTTCAGGAAAATAGAATGCRCGAGCCGGAAAAAGAGAGCATCTTTTACCACCCATGATTTGTCACTTTCACTTAACCATGATATAGAGTGACCATGTTTGACCAATGACTTCGCTCGCATACCGATACAGTCAGCGAGTCACGCTAGGCAACCAATCAGAAGCCACACAGGAAGCGCAAAACAACACATCAAAGCACGTGGATGCACTGGTCCTTGAAGTGCACAAAGTGGGTCACAGTGATTCGGGCTTTCATTCATTCGAAACGCCAYTGTTCGATAGAGCTTATAGCAAACCAAAAATTATCTATTAGAGGGAATTTTTTGAAAGCTTGCTACAAATTTGCTTGAAAAGGTAAATTAGTCACTGGCCTATARTTTAACACGTCCTAAGCAATGGRTATTTTTTATTGAATATTAAAGAGAATTTATTTATCAAGGTATTTTCTCAGCAGAAACGGAGAAGTGATGTGTTTTCTCTTGGCCATGAGGTCAATCGTTTCTTTGAAATTTACCATTTTAGACCAATTTGGAATATTTGTGTTTAATTTTAGGCTGGAATACAGTAATGTTGAAGACGTTCGCGATAGTGATGTAAGACTTGACAAACACAACGACTGCTCGAAATTCCATCAAAGCATGTTTGCATTGTCAAACCAGCAAACATCCAGTATGGATTGAAAAGGTAGGGGCTACAGCTTCAAGTRGCACGTCTTGCAATGGCCAAGAACTACGAAGAAATTGCTGAAATTGGAACCGGCGCCTTTGGCACGGTWTACAAGGCCAAAGACCTAAAGAATGACGGTCAATTCGTAGCTTTGAAGAGAGTTCGAATCATCAACACTGAGGATGGTATCCCCTTATCGACGATTCGGGAAATTGCCTTGTTGAAGCAAATCGACCACTGCGCTCATCCGAATGTTGTACGGTAAGTAGGGAGACCTTCAAGACCGTGGACTAATCCWAAGCATTCAAGAGTTCTTGGCGATTAGGTTTTCGTGCAAATGGATTATGTCAGCAATTTGATCTTGTGCATTCAATGAAATAACATTTTATTTAATATCTAAATTAAATCCCTAGAAATTTTAAAGTTCTCGTGCAATGTTATTAGCTGAATTTGTGSTAATTGAAATTTCGCGAGTATTTTTCTTTGTATATTTCACAATTACCAAGTTTATTATCGCTCAGAACAATGACACATTCCTGTGCGTATAGTTAGCTAAATTCCCAGAGWTGTGCGCCCTTGGGATCTCATAGCAAAGAAGCCAAACAGCACAGAAACTCTCTAGTCTAGCAACAATATCRATCGCAAGGATTTAGAGACTTTCTTCATTAACTTCAATTTATTCCGATTGCAAAATCTTTGCTTATTCTGGACTCAGTTGTTTTCATGCAAATTAATTAAACCTTTTTTTGTGAATAAAAGACAACATTTCCCTTGAGATATTTTCACAATAGCACCTAACAYCGGAAAGTCGTCATTTTCTTGCATTTTCAAAACACTGATCTATGCAGTGGATTTATTAAAAATATTTCTCTTCAACTGATATTTGGTTATTTCCGGTCGAGCAGTTTCTGTGTGAACTTCACTCCCAAAGAAACCGGAAATAGGTCATTCCGCGTTGCTCTCGCCATTTGATTGGTTGAAATTTGGAGGGGAATTTAAACGTCAAATATCTTTGTCAGATTCTTTCGGATTTACTCGGATTTTATTCAAAGAACGAAAAAAAMCCYTYYTT